TTTCTAAATTGATTTTAGTTGGAGATATTCAATTTTCTAGATCCTTGGAAATATGTTCTTTAGGTCTTTTAGTTTCCTTTGTTTCTCTTACAACTTCTTTCTCTTTTCTAACCACATCATTTATCTCTCTTCCACTTCTTAATTGGACAGTGTCTATTTGTTCATCATTTTTCTATTTAGGGTTGATCTCAGTGTTGCTAGGAAGTGTTCATTGGGGTGTATTGCTAAGTGAATTAGCAATTTGTCCCAGTTGATTCTCTATGTTTCTAATCACGACATTTTGACCTTGCAACTGGTTTCCCATTTGCAATATCACTTTTTCTATAGACATCTTCTTATCCTCAAATTGTTGAACATTGTAAGAGTTTGGTGGATATGAAGGTCTATAGTTTGTATTCCCTTGATTATTCCAACTTCCATTAGGATTTGCATGATTACTTTCCCATTGTTGGTTTCCACCCTCAGTAGTATGATACCAGTTAAAATTATGATGGTTCTTCCAACCTGAGTTGTAAAAGTTAGAATACAATTTTTATGGTATTTAAAGTCTCATAAGATAAGTTAGATTCAATCATATGCTCTAATGTGCCCTAATGAACTTTCCTCACTTACTGGAGTAAATTGAGGCTGGTTCATTCCACATTGGTCCAACCTCCTTGATATTGTAGCAACATGAGATGCAAGAATTGTAATCGCATCTGTATCATGAACACTGACTACCTTTTGAGGATTTACCCTTGCAGAGGGCCATTGAAACTCATTTGTAGCCATTTCTTCAATTAACACATATGCTTCATCAAATGGTTTTGACATTAATGATCCACCCGCGACAGTGTTAATTATAAACCTAAGGTATCCTACTAACCCATTGTAAAAAAGTTTGAATGATTAACTAATCGGGCAGAGCATGGTGTGGACACTTTCTTAGGAGTTCCTTAAATCTTTCTCAGGCTTTGTATATTGATTCCCCATTATATTGACAAAATGAGACAATATCGTTTCTAAATTTAGTAGCTCTTGAAGGAGGAAAATACTTTGCTAGGAATTTTTGAGTTAACTCCTCCCTCCCAATTTTTAATAGAGCCAGAATAGAGCCAGATGCTAATGAGTTTAACCACATTTTAGTTTTATCCCTTAGCAAGAAAAGAAAAAGCCTTAGTCTAACAACATCGTCATTATAACAAAATGTAGCACAAAGTTCTAAAAATTTTAATAAGTATAAATATGGATCCTCCAAGGAGTTCCCCAAACTGGTTGTTCTGCACCAGTTGGATAATCGCTGGATTTAGCTCAAACGAGTCAGCTTCTACGACAGGGGTTTGTATACTTAAGTGAATTTCATATATCGTAGGATTTACATAACCCCTCCATGATTTATGATGATTTTTCAAGTTATTATTTTGAATGTTTTCCATTTCCATTTTGAGTTTTTCAAGTCCTTCATGTTTTTTGATTTTTTTCCTTTTTTCTAACTCGGGATCATAAGACACAAGTCTTACAGATCCTTTGTTTCGCATACGCAACACAACAAACAATACATTAACAATTAAACAATTAAAATAAAAATATATTCAACACAACAAAATATTTTCACAAATAATTTGTTTTTCACAGAAACAGTTTTTTCACAACACTTTTTCATACCAAAAATACTTTTCACACAAAAACTGTTTTTACGACACTATAATTTTCCAAGTCTAAGCCTAATTACTTCAACTAAAATTCTCCTAAAAGTCAAGATAAGCCGTTCTGATCCCCGACAACGACGCCAAAAAATTGATCCCGATAATTTCTTATATGTATGGATTTATGAAGTTGACACCACTACTTGAAGATTTTAATCTCCGATAATGACACCAAAAACTTGATCCTTAAAAAAGTAAGATTTCAATTATATTTGTAGGGATTCTACGCAAGTATATGTTTAAGCCCCGAATATCGATCCCACGGAGATCGAGGTTAATCACGACAACTTTCAAGAGAAGTTCTAGTCTATTATAACAAGCTTTGAAGGTTGGTAAGGGTTTCATTTTGATTATATCCTAGAATTATCACTACAACACTACTTCTAAACTAAAATACTTAGTGAAAATTAGAAACTGGAGTTTAATGTATTAAAAGTACTCTTTCTCATGCAATAAAATTAGTTACATGTGTAAAATTAAAACAAGTAATGAGAGAGATTGTGACAAATATGAGCAATTATATTCTCTAACTAGAAATGCTATAAAGAACATTGGTTAATCTAAAGTTTGAATAGTTCTAAAGACGGGCTAGGCAAGGAAGATACTAGTTCTCACTCTAGAGTTCCCTCTTATCCCTCCACCTGGAGGCTAACATCTCACATAAAAACCTAAAATAATAGACCAAATTAGGAGGCTTTAGTCTGTCACTCAAAATTCCTCTAATTCTACACTCATTAAAGATTATTTCTCTATTTATTTTCACTCAATTATATAGACTAAGTTCTCATCCATACAATCTCATGTGATTCTACCATAGTTGATTGAGACAATATCATCCCAGATCTTACATGTTCTCACAACAGATTTTAACATGTAAGTTGATCAAGTTTACATGTAAATGAAGAACAAATTAAAATCATCACAATATATTATCACTCTACACAATTTTATATCCTACACATGCATACTAATTCATTATAAGATGGAAAAGTAAAGAAAACTACTCACTATACATGGAGAAATAACAAGAACTTTTCATTGAACAAGACTTTAAAAACATACAAACAAAGTACTAAATTCAAATCAGAATACAATAAAAACACTTATCTCTGATATAAATCAAACTGTCCTTGTATAGCAAAAGCAATCTCCTTACAATCCTCTCCAATAATAAAGTGAAAAGAAAAGAAGAAGTTCTCACACTCTCTCTTTCTCTCTCACCTTGTCGCCCCACTTAGGGCTCACACCCAAGTCTTCTTCTTCTTCTCCAAGCCTTTTTCTCCTCTTATAATTACTTCAACAGTCTAAGAGTCATTTTAAAGATATTTCCAAGCCTTTTTTTATAATTTCCCAATAGATGCTTAAGTGTCTCTTCAAAAATGTCCAGATTCAATGAATCTTCCAAATGGTGCCTCAAGTGACTCTTCATAACTCCATATAGCCACCCCAAATCCTTCTATAAAGTCCATTTTATTATCCATTTTATTATTTTTTTATTATTTTCAATGAATTCCCCAAGAGATACACGAAGCACCGCTTCTAAATTCGTCCAAATCTAACGTATATTCTAGAAGATATGTTGAAAACCGTCTTCGACGCCTAAGCGCCATTTTTGGGTGCTTAAGCGCCCTCCTCTCTATCTGGGTGGCGCCTAAGTTTCATTTTGGGCACTTAAGCGTCGAGCACAGGCACTTAATGTGGACTTTGGTCCACATGGCTCCGGTGTGCCCCGATTTGACCCGATTTTCTCCGGTTTGCTCTGTTTCGGTCCATTTTTGTTCTTCTTGCTCTAATCACTCCAAATTCTTCAATTTGATGTATCTACAAAAAAAAAAACACAAGTAAGCATACCTTTAAATTGTAATATCATCATAAAAAATAGCATGACAAATAATACATTTTTAGGCGTATCATAGTCTAATACAAATTCAGCGGATAATTTTTTCATTCGTTAAAACTATAATGATTGATTGTTTCACCACTAAATTTACTAATTTGTCAGTAATACTAGTGACATAATTATTCAGTTGAAAATACCTTTCCATATAAACTTTTTTTTGTGGTGGACAAACTTTTGCATGAGTTCAACCGATTATGTGGATTACCGATTGAGAAATAAGTGATTACAGATTGAATTATCATCGAGTAATCACTTAAATTATTGTAGTGAATCTTCTTAATTTAATAAGACATCTAAGTACTTTGGGTAGATTTATGCCTTTTGAATATAAAATTGAGTATAGATAGCTTCGCCTTTGATAGAGCACATTCTTTATTTTTCTATCCAAATATTTCTATTTTTTTCCTTTTACCTTGAGGCATTGATTTCATTTTTTGTTGAACTATACTTGCTTTGATCTTTTATGGGAAGTTTGAAAATAGCTTTTTCTACTTTGACAAAAAACTCATTTTTAAAAAAAATTATATTTTTATTATTGGTAATTATCTTTTGATTTAATAAAAAAAAAAGATAATTTTGAAGAGGTAGATAGATTTGCTAATAAAAGCATAAGAGATGAATAATATGTAGTAACTACTAATGATTGTAAGGAAAATAAGAAAATTATTTAGCATACATGTTTAATATATATAAATTCAAAATTATTTTTATCTTCCCTTAACTTCAAAAATATCTTGAGTCAGGTTCTTTCTCTTCCTATATTGCACCACACATCCATCCTAATGAAGGACAAAATTTTCATGTTATAATAATAAATTAATGGAACAACAAGCCTAACACATAATTATAAAATTCATTTTTCATTTAACATGCAAATCAAGTAAGCCAAACCAACATATGCTCCTATAAAAAAACAAAATGCACATAAAATTGATAAATCAAAAGTTTGGAAATAGTTACAAATGGTGAAATGGTCTACAAGCAATGGCCATGTATTGTTGTATTCTTGAATTTAAATAATATGGCACCCAATGATATTTCTCAAAATTTATTCTTTAAAATAGATTTATTCTCCCATACAATTATGTTGCTTGAAAATAGTACTATATCATATATCAATTTCAAAACTAATAGTTATGATTCATATTGGACCTAAGTTGAGAAAATTGGGCTTCCTTAGAATTTTTTGTTTAGTGTTCAGTGACAACATATCAATCAAGCAAGTGGAATAAACTCCTTTTGTCTAAGAAAGACAAGCATTGATTGAGAGAATCTTTGATGACACTTCCATTAAAAATAATAGCATATCAAGCTTGTACTCTTAACATGGCCCATGATTAGGGAAGGCTACATCAACACTCAAAAAAGTAAAGTGAAAACAAACAAACAAACGAATCAAATATTTCAAGCTCTATGATTCTCTCCATTCTTTCTCACCTACATGACAAGACAATTTTTTCAAGGCCCAAATACAACACCTCTCTCTCTCTCTCTCTCTCTCTATGTCTATGTAGTTAAATTAATAAATCATACCAAGATGAAATTTTACATGATATATATACAAGATATTAACTGCATGACCAGTCACTGATAATAGAGAGGTACAACTGATGATGATGTTGATAATAACTAAGCCAATGTCTCACTTCTGATTTAGGGTGTCATCTTCCATTAATTTGTTGGTGAGATCAACTTTTCAACGTGAAGTTATTGGATTGATTAAAACTAAGCTTCATGTAGCCAATTAAGGTCAATCTTGTTATAAGTTTTGATGTAATTATTCATCAAGAAGCTTAGATTTCTTGGTTATGTTCCAAGTTCCAACATAAAGCAATGTCTTGAGCTATCTTTGTGGCATCGATGGATGCACCGAGCAGTCCCCGCTTGGTGAAGCCTACTGCATAAAGACCTCTCTCTCCCTTCCATCCATTGGGGAATGGCCTCTTAGGTAAGCCATCAACCTTTGAGAAAAACTCGCTCTCCTGCCATCACAAACAATTAATTTCATTTCAAACCTCATTAATTAATTAATGAAGAAAATTTTTAAGCTATGCTAGACTCCAATTAACTAATGTATGCACATGCATGTATGTTTATGTGTGTGTATGCATTAATTATATCATATTATTTAGAATTACATACCTTTAACCAAGAGGGCACATTACTTCTGTACCCTGTGGCTAAGATCACAGCATCAAAATCTTCTGATTTTCCATCTATAAACTCAGCCCCTTTGGATGTAAATCGCTTAACCCCTGGATAAACCTGCAAATCAACAAAACAATCATATATCTTTCAATGAATTTAATCTGTGAAACATCTTCTTACAATTATAAATATTGCATCCTATTATCTAAACTCAAACTGCAAATAAAATTTATCCAAAATCATAATAATATAAAACCTCATTCATATATCATTCATGTCATTTCGTAAAACATGACTCAAATTACAGAGAACTGCAAGGCAAACCTTAATGTCTCCAGATTTGATCTTGTCAAGGGTGCCAACATCTAAAACAGGAGTCTTGCCAGTGATGGCCTTGAGTTCAAGCGGGCCGAGTTCAGGTCGACGAAGCCCAAACCGAGCCGTATCGCCGACCATGAGCCCCGTGACAAATAGTAGCAAACGATCCACCATTTGTACAGGTAACCACTTGAGCAACCACATACACAGCCCAAAGGTAGACCAACCTAGCATCTCTCTTGGCAGAATGTGTACCTACAGAGTTATTCATTATATGTATATGTCTGTGGAACTTGCATAAAATGTTCGAAAGGAAAAGAAATTTAAGAATATGAGAAGTAAGATGTTGAGGAATCGTAAATAGACGAATGAGAGAGAGACTTGGCTGTTATTTTAAAGGAAGCCTTAGCCTAAAATGGAAAGAGAGAGAATGAGAGAGAGAGAGAGAGAGAGAGAGAAGATGCTTCTTTGGCGTGCACTTGAATCACAGGAAAAAGTAAATGGAGGGTAGTTTTCATTCAGAATCTAGCTTTCTTGGCATGCCAAAACCCTATCTCTTTTAAGTACCAGGCAAAGGTGCACGTGTACTCTTCTCCTAGTTTTGCTCCATTAAGAAACTCAAAGCTATTAAATCAAAATTTTAAATATATATATATATTTTTTTGTAGAATCTCATCTATATTAAATATATAATGCTTGATCTTTAAAATAAAGTAAAGCATCAACACCCAAAAATCTTTTGTGTTGCTCTTCTTTAATATTCCATAAGCTATAATTATAAAATATTACAGAATAATAAAAACAAAAGCTTAGATTTTTAATTAAAAATTATGATATATTATATTATATTTTACAAGCTTATGCAAATATATTTGACTTCATTTTAAAAAATTATAAAAAACAGATCAAATTACATCAAACAGAGACACTTTTCTTAAATCCATTTCAATCAATGGACCATCAACATCATCTTTGTATTATCATTTTTCTTCATTTTTCAAAAAGTATTAAAATTAATAAAATATTAAACTTATATTGACTTTAAATGTGTGTGAAGATTGTTACACAACATACCGCATCACGCACTACGATCATTGGAATGGCATCATAGTTACAGAGGTCAAGGCAGACCTCCATCCCGGAGTTGCCACACCCGACCACCACCACCTTCTTCCCCCTAAATGCCTCCCCGCTTCGATATCCACTCGTATGCACCACCGTTCCCTCGAACTCCGACAGCCCTTCGATTGCCGGCACCACTTCCTCCGCATTCTCCCCCGTCGCCACCACCAACCATCTCGACACATACTCCTTCTCCCACCCACTCCCCTCACGCACCGTCCTCACCCTCCAAAACCCTAATCTTTCATCAAACTCCGCTCTCACCACGGACTCCCCGAACGTCGGTCTAACTTCGAACGAGGCCGCGTAGTTCTCCAAGTACCCAACAAACTGCTCCTTTGTAGCGTACGTAGGAAACTCCGTCGGAAATGGCATGAGCGGGAGCTCGCAAAATTTCTTCGGTAGGTGCAGGCGGAGCCGATCGTAGGACTTGAGCTGCCATAGAGAGGCGATGCAGTGAGAGCGCTCGATGATGAGGCTCGGAACACCTTTTGAATTCAAGCAAGCGGCGACGGCGAGGCCGGAGGGACCGGCTCCGACAATGATCGGGCCGGGGACATGGATGAAGTCATGTGCTAGCTTGGCTTCCATTTCTTGAGAGTAGTTGTAGAAGTTCATGAGTGAGGAGAGAAGAATGAGTGGAGAAGGAGAAAGAGTGATATATATTTAGTGTAGATATAGTGATAAGATTAGGGTTTTGGTGAAGACATTGACGGTGGGAATGAGCTTTGGCTGAACTCTGCGAGAAGAGAGGAGGAAAAAGCAAAAGGGGAGATGGGGAAGGTGGGGGGAGGGGCTGTATTTATATTAGTTTGTTGTTGCTGAACTTTAGCCTCATGAAATGTTTATGTCTGTAAATATATGTCACTGACTAAGCTCTAATTCAAGTTTATTTATGAATAAAATATTAAAAATTATACTAAATTGACTTAATGGGAAATTGTTTAATGGCATTGAAATTCATGTTCTTTGTAGAAAATTCTATGATAGATTAATATAATATTTGACTTGATGTAACATAAACTATAACTTAAATTCATTTGATAAGAGCATAAAGACGAGAGAATATTACGTACGGAATTCGTATATGCGAACTTTTTGTACAACATTTTTATATATTATTATATATTATGTATATTATGTATAACATTATCGTACACGGAGTCTAGATGCATCAGGATTCTACACATAATAATTTTTTGAAGAAGTGACCCTAAACATAAGGAAAAAATTACTATTAAAAAATAATTACCAATAGAAAAAAGGGCCATTTACATACAAACCACTCAATTCTTATATATTTACATATCTAACACCCAAGTATTTGTTTAACATTTACATATACCACCTAAACCCTTAATATCATTTCAAAAATATCATCATTTTAACTTTTAAAAATCAAATACATTTTCTCGTGCACGAGTAAGGAGGCATATATGTTAAAATTGAACTTTAGTTATTCGAGATATACATTCATAAGAATCGAGTGGTATGTATGTAAATCATTCTAGAAAAAAAATTAGATTTTGAGGGTGACATGAATCCAACATAATAATTTCTTGGATCTATAAAGTTTGGATGTGATCTAGGCTTGAATCATGTAAAGTCTTATTTTATTTATTTATGTATTTAAAAAATTAAGATTCAAATTAAATATGTAGTATATTGGGTAGAATCTGAAGAAATCTAGCAAATATTTAAGCTGCCCACTTTCCCATTGGTTATTGAGTGTTTCAGGTGTTTGGAGGGCGCACCAAGTAGAGTTCATGAACACGTGTATATTTTTAGACCAAATATTGGGATTTAGATAAATATAAAACTAAAATAATTAGAAAGTAATGATGATGGTAACAATGATTAATTAGGAACTAATTATGATGGTAATGATGTTTATGATTATGGTAAACTTATTGACATGATTGTCAAATATAAGGAAGAAAGTAGGAGCAATTGTTTTTCATGTGGCTGATTTAGGAAAACGCCAAAAATGAGAATTATAAGCAAGGGATGGTGTGGCAGCAATCAATCGAATTTCTACCAGATGGCAGTCCTGTCATATAGGCGAAACCTGATCTGCGGCTACGATCAGAAAGCGCACGCAGCTCTGTGTGTGCCCTCCACACGTAATAATCTTACCTCATCAAGAGTGAGGCACGTATAACAACAAAATTCTTATGTATTTACTTGTATAACAACTAAACTTTCATATTTACATTTAAAACCCTCAAAACTTCAACATCAAATAAAAATTTCACCATTATTTTTTTTTTAAAAATGAAATATATCTTCCCATGCATAAATTTGCGACACAAAAAATATTGAAGTTAAATATCAAACTTTAGATTTTAACTATGTAAGAATAGTGCGGCGTGTAGGTAAATTTCAAAATACTTTTTCAACTATAAAAACAATGTGGAGTTGTCATTAATTTCATCTCTTTTCAATTATTTGTTAATAATATTAGTGTTGCATGCCAGAAATTCATGAGGGTAGAATAATAATTTAATGATTGAGCGTTGTACAAAATCCAACACATACAGTGATAATAAAAAGAAACAGGAGGAGACGCTAAAAATTTCTTTCGTGAAAAAAACTTGAAGAGGGAAAAAAACAAGGAGGTCTATCCCAGTTAAAATGAACCGCTATAAGTTCATATATACAAAGAAAACTCTTATCTCACAATCGAGAAAGGGTTTCATGATTTTTCTAGGGATAATATTTGTTTATAGAAAGGCTCGTGCAACGACTGAAAGCACTTGTTGTTGGAAAGTATCGTCGGGTCTTCGATGCACCATGTTTGAGATACATCGTTACACGATCTCTAGAATACTGTGTTTTTTTTGTATGCAAGAGGCTTGGTTAATCGATACAGAACTTTGTTATTCTATAATTTGTGTTCTTACTTTATATGATACATTGTTACTCTACAATGTGCATCGTTAATCCACATGATACTTTGTTGCTCCGCAAAGTCCAGCAACAGTGTCGAACAGCGAGTGGCCAACGATGGTCCATGGTGGTCAGTGACTATGGAGGTTATGAGTTATCACAGGTCTTCAGTTCAGAACAAAACTGGAAATGGGCTCCTCCTCCTCCTTCTCCTTCTCTTGGTGAAGAAATGGGGTATATTTATAGGCTACATAAGAGAGGCATTTTCATTCTTTAGTGAATAGCCACAAATAACCACCTGATCAAACATTTCATATTGACTCCCTTTATCATAATAGATTTTTTGATGATCTAAAAGCCTTTAAAAATGGTCTAATGGCTTGTTCCGAGGTTGATTTGACTTAGATTGGGTTAATTTCGGTATCAATGGGTTTGTCTCATTGAGTCGGTTAATTTGATAATAAGTGTGAGTTTGAGGTGGCGGTGCGGCGTCTCACCGTAGTTTTTTATGTTTGGCAAAAATAAATTTTTTCTGCGTTCTCAAAAAGCTACAGCTGAAAGCTGCATTTTTCCACAAGATCTAGCTACCTATGGTAGTTGCTAGAAAGCTGCGTTTTAACTTTTTCAAAAAAAAATTTGTGATAGCCAGCACAGTTTTTTGAACGTCAACTTTTTTTTTCAACAGCTTAACATCTATTTCTTTTAATAGCTGTAGGTGCCCAAATAGACCCTAAGTTTACTGAAATATGAGTTATGGATGATTTTTATTTGGAATAAGAATATTTCTGGCCCAAAAAAAAACCTCGAGATTGAAAATGGTAAAATTAGCCAATGACACATCAATTAGGAACAATAATTGTTCCAAAATGAGGTATATTAACTCAGCTTAATTTTAAATCAGAATCATCTTAAAAAGGCTTGTTGCAGAGATTTTAAAATTTTTATATAATGAAGCTCTTGAAAATCTTTGGGCAATTTGGTTATCTAAGCCAATGTTTAAGTTTATGGAAAAAATTACATTGGTATTAAGAAAATTGAAAATGATGTAAAATATACTTAGGTGAAGCTCATTAAGAGAAACTTTATAAGACCAAAGTCAACCAAGTGATTTAGAGCCTAGATGAGGACACTCGGTTTGAAATAAGTGTGACTAGTTTCAAACATATCAACCTACATTAGCACAACTTTGGTTTCATTCACCATGTCATCCTCATCATGTGTTGTTATGAATCCCCCAATAACATAAAACCTATATATCAAGAAAGTAGTATGTTTTATGATAAACATTTAGGGCATGGATAACTTTGCGATACAATTATTTAAAATTTGATTGTGTTGGAACACAAAGAATGATGTCAACCTTCGACATTTTGGTGAATTTAAAATTCATCATGCAATTCAAAAGCATTGTATTCTAAATTGTTTAGATTAGTCGATTTTCAAATAAATTGAAAATTGCAGCCCGTCTCCATTGCCTCAATGCTAGGTAGTAGTTGTCGCCACCACCTGTCTATATTCAGCCACCAACAGCTACCCGCCCGCCCATCATCATCTCCACTAAACTCCCGTTGTCACCACTGCGAGGCCCATCTCAAACTCGGTCGACTGTCACTGTCAGACCCTTGTAAGCTCGAAGTTGGCTTTTCAATGTGCACTACTATTAGTCACCACCCTCACTGATACCAAACATACCATACATTAATTTTATTTTTCTTCATACCAAACATAAAAATGTACTTTACCCCAAGCCAAATAACTTCATAGTATTCCAAATACACTATATCTCAATTATATTGTCCCTTGATATTGTCTTCTCTAGTTTACTCCATAATTTTTGCTTCCTAGGCTACGAAAAGCAAAGTTGGAAAATTCCCTACTAGTTTACAAGTTGCAAGCATATAATTAATTAATTGTGATTGGACTTATATGGATAAAATATTAAGGGACAAAGCTAGCTTTATATATAAGATTCCATTTTTTGCTAATTTAATCACTATTTAATCTTAATTAGTCTTGTCACTTTTCCTATAACAAAGTGAATCAGATTCTGGTGAGGACCTCTTCTTTATTTTAATTTAGTGCAGTAGGTATTTTTTTGGATAATTACATACAAACCACCCGAAACATTGATATTTACAAATTAACCATCCATGTGATTTTTTGTATTTATGCATGCCACGATCAAACTATTGAAAATTTGATAAAAATTAAAATTATGGGCGGGATTTTACAATGAATTTAGATATTTGAGTGAAATTTTGATAAAAATGGATGAAAGAGGGTGATTGATTTGTAAATAGCAAGTTTCGGGGGGTTTGTATGTAATTGTCCCTTTTTTTAATTTTTATTTTTTAAAGGGAATGTTTGGGTTGAGTTCATTAGAAAAAGCAAATTAAAATTAAAAATTAAATTATGCTTTTGGAACCAATTAAATTATCTCTTAATTAATTTACTACTTCAAAAGTAAACGTACATTTTTTTTATAGTGTAAATTGTGCACTTCAAAAAAATATTTATTAGTTATCGACTTATAAAATAATATTTAAAATAATTTGATTATATACTTGCTTGCAAATTTCACCGTTTGGGGCATCTTAGAAGTGCGGTGGCGTTTTTGAAAACGCCGCCTAACCATTTGGCTTGCGTGTTTTTGAAAACACTGTCTGTCGCGTTTGAGTTTCTTATACTAAACGCAGGCCGCGGGACGACTCCTGCGGTCGACCCACGGACCGCATTTTAGGATAAGCTGTTTATCCTGAAACGCACAAGCTGCCCCAAACGGACCGTTAAATCTCATAAACCCGAAAGGTTATAAATGACAATTTTTTGAAAATTAATTGAAAATTTAAATAAATTAATTTTGTTAT